ATGGCGGCGCTGTGGGCGCTGACAGGCAGCATGGACGCGCGCCCTGACTCCCGCCAAGGCCTGCGCATGGCCGATGTCGTTCACCGCAGCGGACAGGGAGAAGGGAGTGAGGGGGGCGCGGGGGAAGGGGGAACCGAAGGGAAGGGGCGTGGGAGGCGGAGGAGGGGGGAGGGCGGTGGAGGAGGGGTGGCGCGCGTGCGGGTGGAGGGGAGGGTGAATGGCAAGGCGTTTGTGATTGAGAGGGAGGCGTCCAGGTGAGCTAGGAAGGAAGGCAGTTATGGTGCTTAGATGAGAGAGAAAGAGAAAGATAGGTGTGGAGGAGGGGCAAGGCCGTGATGGCATGTCCACCGCTGTTTTATCCTCCACGCTTCTCATTCCACACTCCCTCTCAGAACTTCGCCCCTTCTACCCACTTTCCCTCACAAAACCTTTTCCCCTTCTGCCCTCGTCCCTGCATCCTCCGCCCTGTGCGCCCCTCATCTCGTGACCCTCCAGCCGACGCTCGGCGTTGCGGTTTGAGGTGGAGGGGCAGGACCAGACGTGCCAGGAGATTCGACTCACGCAGGACCGGATTGACGCCCTCATGTGAGCCTCTGTGCCCTGCTGTGCTGTCATGTGCGCATGCATGCTCTAGTGCCATCTCTGTTATGTGCAACTGTGTTTGGCTAGATAAGCATGCCATACCTGATTAGTCAACAAGAGCTGTGTTGTATTGGATCTGTACGCACCTGTGTGCATGTGTGTGTGCATGTGTGCATGTGTGTGTGCATGTGTGTGTGCATGTGTGTGTGCATGCATGTGTGTGTGCATGCATGCGTATGGTCATGTGTGTATGCATGTGTGTGCATGTGTGTGCATGTGTGTGCATGTGTGTGCATGTGTGTGCATGTGTGTGCATGTGACGGCACATCTGCACATGCACATGTGCGACAGGGACACATCTCTCCTCTCACGCACAGTCTTCTTCGGTCAGCACTCCACCGCTGCGCTGCTTGAAGCCAACGACGCCGACTTCAAGGCACCCGCACCTCCTTCTCCTTTCTCACCTCCATTTCCTTCACTCCCCTCATCTCCAATTTCCACTGCGTTATTTTCTCCTCCTCTTGTCTCTTTTCCCTCCCTCCCTTGTGTGCTTCCTTGTCTCCACGTTCTCCTCGTCCCTCGCATGCTTCCTCTCCTCCCGCTGCCATCTGTCCATGCCCATTCAAAATGACGCCGCCTTCCTTTTCCCCAGCAGCCGTGCATGTGCCCCCACCCGCTCCACTCAATCCACTTCCATGCCCCACCGAGCTCTCTCATTCTTTCTCCCCTGCTTCTTTCCTTCTGCACCTCTCCATAAGCCCGCTCTCACCCCTCCCTGCACCGCGCGCATGCACCCCTGCGCACCCATCAGGCGGAGCTGAGTGGGGTGGTGGGCATGGACGTGTGGGGGGCGGCCAGGGCGCGCAGCAAGGAGGCGGTGAAGGTGCTGCAGGCGCGCGTGGGGGAGATGAGAGGCGGACTGCTGGCACGCAGGGAGGCCGTCAAGAAGCTGGAGCGCATGGTGGGTGCAGGCGGGGCGGGGAGAGGGGGGGTGCTGAGCAGGAAGGGTGCGGCTTTGATGCTTGCAAGGGTCTAGTCATAGTCAGTTTTTTTCTCATCGCATCTCCTCGCCACGCCTCACCTCACATGGCTGTTAAGTGATTTCATGTCATCTGCATGCGCCTCTGCCCTGCCATGCCATTGCATGCCCTGGGTACATGACGCATGCCATCGCGCTCCCTGCTTACATGGCCGCATATCAGGTGGAAGAAGCAGAGGGTGCCTTCAACACCTGGGAAGAGAACAGGTGAGCCATGCCATCCCATGCCATGCCATGCCATCCCATGCCATGCCATCCCATGCCATGCCATCCTATGCCATGCCGTCCCATGCCATCCCATGCCATGCCATCCCATGCCGTGCCATGCCATGCCTTGCACTTGTTTCTCCGTCACTGCTCACTTCCACCACTTCAATCCCCATGCCTTGTGCACCACCTGCCTCATTGGGCTACGTGCATTCCTGCTGCAAACACGTTCTGTGGGACAGCCTTTGTGGAAGGGCGGTCTCATGTGGGACGAGTCAGTGCGTACCAGCGCCATCACTCACTCACCTCCCTCACCCACGCACTGCCCTCATCTCCCCCCATCCCACCCTCTCGCCCACCACCAGGGCGGTGCGGCAGCAGCGGGTGGGGCAGCAGCAGCAGGGGGCGGAGCAGCAGCTGGCGTCAGCCTGCCAGCGCCTAGCATCCCTCGTTGCCCCGCGCCTGCAAGCCGCCGTGGCCCTCTCGCACTCCCACGCCCTCGCCCTGCACTCCTCCGTGCTCGCCTCCCTCTCTGGTGGGGAGGGGGAGGGGGAGAGAGGCACAAGGATGGGGGGAGTGGGTGGAGGCAGGGCGGGGAGGGGAGAGGAGGAGGAGGGGATGGAGGAGAGGGAGCGGGCATTGATGACTGGGATTGCATCCCTGCAGGGCGAGGTGGGTGCGAGGGAGGAGGGAGTGGGTGTATGGGGTTGAGAGGAGAGGGAGTGATGCTTGCAGTGTGGAGAACTTGCCAGAATGCACGCACGCAGGGAGCATGGCATCCCCACATTCGCCTAGCGCCTCTTGCCTCACACACATGCACCACCTCTTGAACCCCTCATCGGTTTATGTGCCTGGAGTCTCCTTCCCATCCCTCTGTTGGCATGCCCCCTTCCCTCTGCAGCTGTCAGCGGTGACTGCAGGGCTGAGAGAGCAGCAGCAGCGGCTGGGGGAGTTTGAGGCGCATGTTGGGGGAGCGGTGGGGGGAGGGGAGGTGCTGGTGTGTGACAGGTGTCAGCAGCCCATTGATCCGTTGCATGCGGAGGAGTGCAGCAGGCAGCTGCGGGCGGAGGTGGAGGAGACGCAGCGACAGCTGGCAGGCAAGCAGCAGGTGGGTTGTCCTTGGGGTTCCTTCTCTCACCCTCCTTGAGCTTCTCTCCTTTTCCACATTCTGTCTCTCTTCTATCTGCCCCCTAGTTTTTATGTGCAAATCCAACGTCTTATGTTCAATCAGTTCAGAACTCATCACAAATTCTGGAAAGTGTATACCCTGTTCAACTTTCGGACCTTGCTCTAACACAAATCTCTTCCATTTCTCTCCCACATGTCGCTCTTCTTGTGCACCTGCCCTGGCTGGCAGGCACAGGAGGAGCTGCGGGGAGAGCTGGGGGGCGTGAGGGGGTGGCTGGAGGCGCGGCGGAGGGAGAGGCGGGAGAGCGAGGAGAGGGATGTGCAGGCCAGGAGGCAGCAGCAGCAAGCAGCCATGGCACAGCAGGAGGAGGTGTGTGCTGGGTGGATTGGGGTGTTCCTCTCTAGCAATAGCACCACATGCACCACGAGTCATGAGTTGTGAATACCGTTCCATGGCATCTGCTCTGTGTCTTGCTACACTTCTGTCAAAACATGTTTATATCATGTTAGTGATGTTAGGCTGTAGTGGGTTACTCCCTATGGGATACAACCCTTTGTTAGGGTTGCTACTTGTACCACTCATCCTGCTTTAGTCAATCATTCCTGTCTTACTATTTTGACATGGTATTAGAGTAGGTTCGTTCCCTAGGGCCCACCGAACGTTCCGCCCTGCCCGGCCTTGTAAACCTTTTTTTTCCTGCCCTGCCAGCGCGCCAAGCGCCCTGCCCTGCCACCGCGCCACGCGCCCTGCCCTGCCTGCGCCACGCGCCAGCGCCCTGCCCTGCCTGCGCCAGCGCCCTGCCCTGCCTGCGCCACGCGCCCTGCCCTGCCAGCGCCCCACGCGCCCTGCCCTTCCTGCGTCACGCGCCCTATCCTGCCAGCGCGCTAGCGCCCTGCCTGCCCGCACGTCGCGACCTGCTGCAGCCCGCACGTCGCGCCCTGCTGCAGCCTGCGCGTCGCGCCCTGCTGCCCCTCGCGTCGCGCCCTGCTGCCCCTCGCGTCGCGCCCTGCTGCAGCCCGCGCGTCGCGCCCCTCTGCTGCCTAGCGCCGCCCTGCCCGCGCGCGCTCTGCCTGCGCCACGCGCCCTGCCCTAACTGCGCCACGCGCCAGCGCCTTGCCCTGCGTGCACTACCGCCCTGCCCTGCCCGCGCCAGTGCCCTACCCTGCCTGCGCCACGCGCCCTGCCCTGCCATCGCGCCACGTGCCCTGCCCTGCCTGCGCCAAGTGCCAGCGCCCTGCCCTGCGCGCGCTAGCGCCCTGCCCTGCCCGCGCCAGCGCCCTGCCCTGCCTGAGCCACGCGCCCTGCCCTGCCAGCGCGCCACGCGCCCTGCCCTTCCTGCGCCCCACGCCCTGCCCTGCCAGCGCGCCCCGCGCCCTGCCCTGCCTGCGCCACGCGCTCCTGCCCTGCCCCGCGCGTACCACCAACTGCCGCTACCACCTGCGCACGCTCCTAGTGTTGCCACCGCTACTGCTCCAACCACTACTGCCACTACACCTACCGTTCCAGCTACCGCCACTGCAGTAGCTACTTTCCACCTTGCGCCGCTGCTGCTGACTGACACTGACCATGGCCACTATCACTGTCACACGTCAGCGGCAGCCGAGTACGCAGGAGTCTCTCTCGCCGCAGCAGCTTCGCGAGTGGGCTATCTGGTGGAGCAGGTAGCTGCGTCAGGTCAGGTAGCTGCGTCGGTTGAGGTCGCCTCATCTTGTTCGTGTCGTCTCCTCACGCACCAGACTCTCCTCTGGCACCACCGTCTTGGCCACCCTTCCTTGCCACGCCTGCGTGGCATGCACTCCCGTCTCCTTGTGCCTGGTCTCCCGAGGTCCCTGCCCCCGCTTCCGAGGTTGCTTGCACCGCCCTGCCTTCCCTGCGTCGAGGGGCGGCAGCGCGCCGCTCCTCACTCCTCCTCGTTTTCTCCTACCACTTCTCCTCTGCAGACCCTGCACATGGACGTGTGGGGCCCCGCCCGCATCACTGGACAGGGTGGCGAGCGCTACTTTTTGCTGGTTGTCGACGACTACACGCGCTACACCACGGTTTTCCCCTTGCAGAGCAAGGCGGATGACCGCGGTGTCTTGATCCGCTAGATCCGCGCTGTCCGTCTCCAGCTTCGCGCTCGGTTCCTGCAGGACCTCCCTGTCCTGCGGCTGCATTCTGACCGAGGTGGTGAGTTTTGCTCCCACCTCCTTGAGGACTTCTGTGGTGCTGAGGGCATCGTCCAGTCGTACACGCTTCCGGCCTCTCCTCAGCAGAATGGGATTGCCGAGCGCCGCATTGGTCTTGTCATGGAGGTTGTTCGCACCTTCATGATCCATGCGGCTGTTCCCCATTTTCTGTGGCCGTTTGCGGTCCGATACGCCGCTGAGCAGCTCAACCTCTGGCCCCATGTCTCCCACCCGGAGACCTCCCCCACTTTGAGGTGGACGGGCGATGTTGGTGATGTGTCGGCGTTTCGGGTCTGGGGTTCCCTCTCTCTTGTCCGCGATTTGCCTGCGGGCAAGCTCTCTACAAGCATTCTTTGGTGCGTGTTCCTTGGCTTTCCCACCGACGCACAGCCCTGGCAGTTTTACCACCCGGGCTCTCGTCGTGTACTGTCCTCCCGCGACGTCACATTTGACAAGTCCATCTGCTTCTACCGTCTTCACCCCCACCGCAGTTCCCCGGTACCCCTCCCGCCTCTCACCGTGGTGGACGACCCCCCCCCGGTAGCCCCCCTCCCTCCTCACGGTCCCGCTCCCTCAGGTGTGTCTCAAGTAGACCCACCCCCCTTGGTTGAGCCTTTGGAGGTCTCTTCAGACACCTCTGGCCCAGCTGAGGGGGGTGACCCGACTCCTGCTGCCACAGTGACCCCTCGCCGCTCTGCACGCTTGGCTGTCCCTCCTGGGTTTCCGCCTCGACCGTCTTCACCGCCGCTGCAGCCTGTCGCTGTGGACTCTGGTGCTGCAGGAGGTGGTACCACTGGGGGTGCTGGTTCTGGGGGTGCTGTGTGTCCTCTGGGTACAGGAGGTACTAGAAGTAGTGGTGCTGGTGGTCCTGCTACGAGTCGGCAGGCGGCTCTCTCGCCGGAGCGGCTACGCGAGTGGGCTGTCCAGTGGGGCAGCCCTGGTGGTGGAGCTAGCCGTCTTAGAGCTGGAGGTGCTGGGACTGCTGGAGCTGGAGGTGTTGGAGCTGGAGGTTCTGCTACTGGTGGTAATGTGGTTGCTCGTACTGGTGGCTCTGGTGCACGTTGGCGGGCGACTCTCTCGCCGGAGCGGCTTCGCGAGTGGGCTGTATAGTGGGGCAGCCCTGGTGGTGGAGCTAGCCGTGCTCGCTCTCCTAGAGCTGGAGGTACTGGAGGTGCTGCTGCTGTGGGTGCCGCTGCGGGTAGTCCTGGCGCACGTCGCCAGGCGTCTCTCTCGCCGGAGCGGCTTCGCGAGTGGGCTGTCTGTTGGGGCAGTCCTGGTGGTGGCGCTGGACGTGCTGGAGCTGCAGGTCCTGGAGGTGCTAGCCCTGGAGGTGTTAGTGCTGGAGTTCTTGGTACTGGAGGCACAGATGCTGCTGGAGGTGCTGGAGGTTCAGGTTCTGGAGGTGCTAGCCCTGGAGGTGCTGGTGCTGGTGTTCCTGGTACTGGAGGCACAGGCGCTGCTGGAGGTGCTGGAGGTGCAGGTACTGCTGGAGGTACTACAGGAGGTGCTGTTGGAGGTACTGGAGTTAGTGGTGCTAGTCGGCAGAAGTCGCTCTCGCCGCTGCAGCTTCGCGAGTGGACTGTTCGTTGGGGCAGTCCTGGTGGTGGAGCTGGGGGCACTGGTTCTGAGGGTGCTGTTGCTACTGGAGCTGGAGGCACTGGTTCTGGGGGTGTTGTTGCTACTGGAGCGGGAGGTTCTAGGGGTGCGACTACTCAGCCGCAGCCGTCTACACTTCGTCGCCTTCTCAGTCTCCCGCCTGCTGCTACTGAGTTCCCGGTTCCTGGTTCTACTCCTCCGTTACTGTTCCCACCGACTGACCAGTCTCAGCCACAGCTACTGCCTGGCTCCCCGCTGCCTGCTCCTGCTCCTCACACTGAGGTTACTGCGTCCCTGACTGCGCGTCGTGAGCCTGAGACTCGTGCTTCCACTCCTGAGCGTCGTGAGCCTGAGACTCGTGCTTCCACTCCTATTCGCGGTCATCGTGTTGTCCGTCCTCGTGCTCCAGCTGTGTCAGGCACTCACCGTATGGCACTTCCTCTTTCCTCTGTTCCACTGCGTGTTGTCCTGCCATCTCCTCCTGCGTCTTCTCTTCCTCACGTTCCTGACCCTGAGTCAGACCTTGTCCGTGCTGCAAGTCCGACTGTGACTAGTCTCGTTGCCAAAGTTGTGATTGACCCTTCCTTTGAGTCTGCTGCTACGTCTGTCTTAGTTGCTGAGCTTGTTGACTTTGCTGCTTTGTGCCGCCTTGACTACGCTGCGAGTCTTGTTTTTGACTCTTCCTGTCATCCATCTGTCGGGGGTGAGCTTGCCCTTGGCTGTGACGTTCTTGAGGACAGGCAGTTTGAGCTGGAATGTCTAGCGACAGCTGCATCTCATCTCGCGTCCACGCTACTTTGCCCTGAGGGAGACCAGGATGCACTAGACATCCCGACCCCGCGCACTTACGCAGAGGCGATCACGGAAGAATACTCCTCTCAGTGGCAAATAGCCATGGACGCAGAGATAGCTTCCTGGAAGTCCACAGGCACCTACGTCGACGAGGTTCCCCCACCTGGGGCGAACATAGTCGATGGCATGTGGATTTTCAGGGTGAAGCGACCACGGGTTTTCCGCCTGCCTTCAAAACGCGTTACGTTGCACGAGGCTTCAGTCAGCGTGAGGGGGTCGACTTCTTTCAGACCTTCACCTCCACCCCGAAGATGACCACTCTTCGGGTGTTACTGCACGTTGCAGCACAGCGTGACTACGAGCTGCACTCCCTCGACTTCTCGACAACCTTCTTGCAGGGTAGCCTTCACGAGGCTATCTGGTTGCGCCGTCCACGTGGCTTCACTGGGTCGTTTCCTGAGGGTGCCCAGTGGAGTCTACGGCGACCAGTCTACGGCCTCCGACAAGCACCCCGCGAGTGGCACGACACACTGAGGACTATACTTGCGGCTTTTGGCTTCGCTCCCTCGACTGCTGACCCTTCGCTGTTTCTGCGCACAGACACTTCTCTGCCGCCGTTCTACGTTCTTGTGTACGTTGACGACTTGGTTTTTGCAACTGCTGACACTGAGGCTCTGGCCTTGGTGAAGGCGGAGCTGCAGGAGAGACACACTTGCACAGACCTGGGTGAGCTGCAGAGCTATCTTGGCTTGCAGATCACCCGGGTCAGAGCACGCCGCACCATCACCCTCACTCAGTCACACATGGTGCAGCAGGTCCTTCAGCGCTACGACTTCACGTGGTCCTCGCCACAGCCCACTCCTCTGTCTACCAGCCACTCGCTCTCAGCTCCACCTTCGGACGAGTCCGTAGAGCCGAGTGGTCCGTACCCAGAGCTTGTGGGTTGCCTCATGTACCTGATGACGTGCACACGACCTGACCTCGCGTACCCTCTCAGCCTCTTAGCTCGCTACGTAGCTCCCGATAGACATCGAAAGATGCACTGGTATGCTGCGAAGAGGGTATTGCGTTACTTGTGCAGCACATCGAGCATGGGGCTCGTGCTTGGAGGACCGGATTCAGTTGTTCTCACCGTTCATTCAGACGCTTCTTGGGCTGATTACCAGACGACTCACCGGTCGACATAGGGGTACAGTTTCAGCCTTGGCGCTGGTTTTGTCTTGTGGAGGTCCACTCGTTCTTCTTCTGTATTTAGTTCCAGCTGTGAGGCCGAGATCTACGCTGGAGCTATGGCTGCACAGAAGCTGCGTTGGCTGACCTACCTGCTGACCGACTTGGGTGAGCGGCCTCGTTCTCCTCCAGTTCTGTACGTCGACAACAAGGCCATGATTGCCTTGTGTCAGGATCAGAGACTGCAGCACAGAACGAAGCACATTTCTCTCCGTTGCTTCCTCACACGAGAGCTGCAGCAGCGTGGTCAGCTTCGTCTTGCTTACGTCGCCACACGGGCCAACACTGCTGATGTCTTCACCAAGGCCCTTGAGTCTAGTGATCATCAGCGTTTCTATATTGCTCTTGAGCTTGTGCCCACTCTGCCTCACTTGCTTGTTTCTTGATCTTAATCTTGTTGTACACTGATATAAATGAGTAAACCTGCATGCTTACACTTGCTAGGTTGTGATCAGTGTACTGCTCTTGCTATTGTAAACTCTGCATGTGAACTGGCCTTGTGGCTGCTTGTTTGTGCTCGGAATGCGTGGTGATCTTGAGATCCACCCTGAGCTTTGCCTTGCTTTGTTCTCTTGCTTGACTGGACTTGTGACCTCTTGTTGTCCCCCACTTTGCCTATGGGGGTGTGTCAAAACATGTTTATATCATGTTAGTGATGTTAGGCTGTAGTGGGTTACTCCCTATGGGGTACAACCCTTTGTTAGGGTTGCTACTTGTACCACTCATCCTGCTTTAGTCAATCATTCCTGTCTTACTATTTTGACAGCTTCAGCCCCCTTGTGCCTTCACTCTCACCACACCACGCCGTCACCAGCACCTGCATCCGCTCACCTTCTTCTCCTTGCCCCATCTCCACCCGTCTTCCCACACCATCCCCCTCCGTCCCTCTCTCCCCTCCCACCCCCAGCTGAAGGCAGTGCAGCGCTACACAGCAGCAGCCTCGCAGGCCCTCGACTCGCTGCTGCTCTTCCTGCACCGCCACTCCGCCTGCCTGCCCGCCACGCCGCCACTGCCCTCTGCCTCCTCCCCCACTGCGGGCGTGCCTGGTGAGGGCAGCGGGGCGTGGCGGCAGGAGGCGGTGGTGGGGGTGATCCGCGACGCGGCGACAGCGGTGGCGGCAGGGGAGGCGGCGGAGGCGGAGGTGGAGAGGTGGCGGCGGGAGGCGGAGCGCGGCCGGGCAGAGGGCAACCCGCATGAAGGGGAGCGGCGGCGGTTGGTGGAGATGCTGGGGGAGGCAAGGGGGGAGGTGGAGGCGGTGGAGGGGGAGGTGGATGTGGGGGAGGCGCAGCTGGGCGTCATGAAGCAAGTGGACGCCGCCTTTGGACTCGCTGGCGTGCAGGTGGGGTGGGGTGGGGTGGGGTGGAGGGTGCAGAGGTGCAGAGGTGCTGGTTCTAGATTCTAATGATACCAGCCGGCAATTCCCCGTTCCCTTCCCACTCCCACTCCCACTCCCACTCCCCCTCCCTTTCCTTCCCTCCCCCGCTCGTCCCTCAGAGCTTTGTGTTGGAGGGTGCACTGTGGGAGCTGGACGCCCATGTGGCTCGCTACCTTGCCGCACTCTCAGCGGGCGCACTGCACCTGCACCTCTCGCCTACCCGCGCTGCCGCCACTGCCACCAAGGCCGCCCGGGGGAAGAAGACAAAGAAGGCCAGTGGGGCAGGGAAGGGCGGGGTGGCGGATAGCAGCACGGACTCTGACGCATCAAGCGACAGTGGGGGAAGCGAAGGGGGAGAGGGGGATGGGGAGGGAACGGCGGCGGATGGGGACAACAGCGGGGCGGGGCAGGTGTTGGAGAGGATAGACAAGAGTGTGCGCGTGCGCCTGGCCTCGGGGGAGCTCGTCCCGCGTGCGCTGCGCCAGCTTAGCGGGGGGGAGCGACGTCGTGTGGCGCTGGCCCTGGCGCTGGCGTTTGCGGAGCTAGCGGCGGAGCGCAGCGGGGTGCGGTTCGACCTGCTGGTGCTGGACGAGGTCTTCCAGGCACGCCGCTCCTCCCTTCCGCCACCACTCCCCCTCTTCCTCCCCTCGCCCTCCCTCTGCTCCTTTTCCTGCTCCCCACTTTACTCCTGTTCTACTCTCTTTCGTCCATGGATGACGCAACATTTCCCCGCACACGGGGTACACTCCTACATGTTTCATCAACGTTCTTCACTCTCCTGGTCTTTCATCCTCCCCGGCCAACAGCATCTGGATGACGAGGGCGTGGCGGCCGTGGCAGCGGTGCTGAGGGGGCTACCGCAGCGCACGGTGGTGGTGGTGTCGCAGGCCAACAGCCGGGAGGCACTGGCAGAGTTTGGGGTGGTGGACTGGGTGGTGAAGCGCAACGATGTGGCCACTGTGGAGCTCGCTCACATGTAGCTGCAACTGCCCGGGCACTGGCCTGCCTGCCCTGGGGTGCTTGGGAGACAAGCAATGTAATCTTTTCATGCATGTCACGTTCTTGTTGGACGCTTATTGCAGTGTAGTGTAATCAGAGCATTCTACTCAAACATGGGCACTGGTATCACCGAGACCTTGCAAGTTGTGCGTGCAGTGGCATGTGAATGTGTGTCCCCTCCACGGAGGCACTGGGTGCTGCTCACTGCACGCCCCACTGCCGCACTAGGCAGCATGAAGAGATGAGTGGAGTTTGTTGGAAACATATAGTTCACGCTTTTGATGTGTCGAGCACTATAACAAGATCGAAGCAAATCCACAGCGAAGCAACACCGAGTCAACCAAGTTACAGCGAAGCAGTTGACAAAAACTACAACAGCAAGAAGTTGAAGCGAAGCTCAAAGTTCAGCAACCTTGGACTCGATGAAACAACACGACAGCAAGGACAAATACCTGACTCGCTATTGAGTAGTTACCCGAGTCGTCCTGTATCAAACCGCATTAGCAGTTACAATTGCAGTTAGTAAAACCTTTCATATTCCCTGTAATCATATAAAAGCCCTGTATCTCTATGCTATAATCAACTTACCCGTATGGCCCCGGATATAGGCGCCGTCCGATTAAAGGCGCCGGCGCCTCTATCTGGAGCATGGCGCTTATGGCCGGAACTCGATTATAAGCGCACCCCCTGAAAATTCTATCCGTATTATAAGCGCATCCCTTAACCTTTCATTGGAGGCATTACAAAAGATTTTACCGTATTCTCCCGGACATAGCACCCTAGGGTATAGCTAAAAATACAGGGAAAAAATGGGGGGGGTCTCCTCATAGGAAAAAAAATACATAATACCCGGGTCTTTACATATGGTATATTTTAGTGTTAGTGTTTATTTAATTAGACAATGTGGGTGTTTTGATTTTCATTTTAACATCACTGTCTGAGGCGCGAATGTGGGTTTCGGCCACGAGCTTCATCACCCCCACGAAAATTCCATGTGGCACCCCTCTTGCCACTTGCAGCGAAAGATTGCCTGCACGTGGTCACAGCGAAGTAGTGCGAGGGGGGAAATCTCGGTAGATTGTAAGTGAATGTACCGCGAAATTTCATCTAGGGAGAAATTTTCGCGATATTCTTCAATATTGCAGCTACTCGTTAACGACTATTATAACGAATTCGTAAGAAAAGGGGGGTGTTATAGAAAATCAGCCCAAAAGGGGGGTATAGTAGAAACGAGGCTCCCCATAACACCCACCCCGCACAAGCTACCCGGGGGTGTACAATTATGGGGGGGTGTTTTGTCCGGGAGTATACGGTACTAAACTGTCACTTTTTCTAAGCAACAACATCAAATCAAGCTAGATCTCCTAACAACAAGTTTAGCCGGGATACTTCTACCTAACATGGATCATACAGTACCCCTCCTACTCCTCCTCGTCAGATTCGGGCTCCTGGCAGTTGTTGCCAAAAAAACCATCAGTGATGATGTCATCGTTGACATCCACTTCAGCTGTCAGCTGGCTCCGCCTGTGCGCCATGGCGAGTCCGTCCTCACTGCCGTCAAGCTGGTTGCTGATGCCTCAGGTGAGGAAGGCATGCTTGATGTGTCGAGAGTAAAGGGAAAAAGGTGGTGCACTATCGAGAAAGTTGGGTACAAGTAACAAAAACCTATACCCTACATTAGCTACCCCACTAAATCCTACATTCTATTATGACATAGGCATATAATTTGACACACCCCCATAGGCAAAGTGGGGGAGAGTAAGGGGTCACAAGACCAGTCAAGAGAAGCAAAGCAAGCTCAGGGTGGATCACAACGTCACCACACACACTGAGCACAAGCAAAGGGCCACAAGGCCAGTTCACAAGCAGAGGTATATATGCAACAACAATAGTATAGTGATCTCTACTTAGCAGAGAAAGAATGCAGGAATATATATAGATCACAGTATAAGCAAAGTCTACAGCAAGTGAGGAAAAGTGGGCACAAGGCCTAACAAAGTGCAGAAACGCTGATGATCACCAGACGGAAGTGCCTTGGTGAATATATCAGCAGTGTTGGCCCGAGTGGCCACGTGTGCAAGACGAAGCTGACCACGCTGCTGCAACTCTCGAGCCAAGAAGTAACGCAGAGCAATGTGCTTCGTTCTGTGCTCCAGTCTGTGCTCCTGACACAAGGCAATGGCGGCCTTGTTGTCGACGTACAGCACTGGAGGAGAACGAGGCCACTCTCCCAAGTCGGTCAGCAGGTAGGTGAGCCACCGTAACTCCTGTGCAGCCATGGCTGTGGCGTAGATCTCAGCCTCACAACTGGAGCTGAGAACTGAAGACGAGCGTGTAGAATGCCAAGAAACTGAACCAGAGCCAAGGCTGAAGGTGTAACCCTGTGACGACCGCTGCGTAGCCTGGTCGTCAACCCAAGAAGCGTCCGAGTGACCAGTAAGGACAACGTCGCCCCGTCCTCCAAGCACGAGCCGCATGCCCGATGTACTGCACAAGTAGCGCAGTACCCTCTTAGCAGCATCAATGTGCACCTTTCGGTGCCGACCAGGAGCCACGTAGCGAGCCAGAAGGCCAAGAGGGTACGCGAGGTCAGGACGAGTGCAGGTCATCAGGTACATGAGGCAGCCAACTAGCTCTGGGTAAGGACCACTCGGCTCTACGGACTCGTCCGAAGGTGGAGCTGAGAGCGAGTGACCTGTAGCCAGAGGAGTGGCCTGTGCCGAGGACCAGGTGAAGCCGAAGCGCTGAAGGACCTGCTGCACCATGTGTGACTGAGTCAGGGTGATGGTGCGGCGTGCTCTGTCCCGGGTGATCTGCAAGCCAAGGTAACTGCGCAGCTCACCCAGGTCTGTGCACGTGTGTCTCTTCTGCAGCTCCGACTTCACCAGGGCGAGAGCCTCAGTGTCAGCAGTGGCAAAGACCAAGTCGTCGACGTACACGAGGATGTAGAACGGCGGCAGCGAAGTGTCGGTGCGCAGAAACAGCGACGGGTCAGCAGTCGACGGAGCAAACCCAAGAGCCGCAAGTGTCGTCCTCAGTGTGTCGTGCCACTCACGTGGCGCCTGGCGGAGACCGTAGACCGGCCGCCGGAGGCTCCACTGGGTACCAGGAGGGAACGACCCAGTGAAGCCAGGCGGGCGGCGCAGCCAGATCTCCTCGTGCAGGCTGCCCTGCAAGAAAGCTGTGCTGAAGTCAAGAGAGTGAAGCTCGTAGTCACGCTGAGCGGCAACGTGAAGCAGCACCCGAAGAGTGGTCATCTTCGGGGTGGGGGAGAAGGTCTGGAAAAATTCAACTCCCTCTCGCTGACTGAAACCTCGAGCAACGTAACGAGCCTTGAAGACAGGCGGAGAACCTAGCGGCCGCTTCACCCTGAAAATCCACATGCCACTGACGATGTTCGCCCCAGGAGGGGGAACCTCGTCGACGTACGTGCCTGTGGACTTCCAGGATGCCATCTCTGCGTCCATGGCTGTCTGCCACTGAGAGGAGTACTCACCCACGATCGCCTCAGCGTAAGAGCGCAGGGTCGGGATGTCTGGAGCATCCGGGTCTCCCTCAGGGGCAAGCAGCATGGACACGAGATGAGGCGCAGCGGCTGCAAGACACTCAAGGTCCTCCTGCCTGTCCTCAAGGACGTCCGTGCCAAGAGCACACTCACCCCCGACGGACGGAGGACAGACAGACTCAGACTCAGCAACAAGACTAGCGGCGTAGTCTAGACGACAGGCAGCAGCAAAGTCAACAAGCTCAGCCACTAAGGCAGACGCAGCAGTAGACTCAAACGACGGGTCAGTGACAACTGTGGCTAGCAGACGCGTGACAGTAGGGTGAGCAGCACGAGCGCGGTCAGACTCAAGCTCAGGAACGGTAGGCAGAGAAGACGCAGGAGGGGACGGCAGGGGAACACTCTGCGGAGGAGAGGAAGGACGACGGACTACAAGGTGGGTGCCGGGGACAGCCGGCTGACACGAACGAGGAACACGACGATCGGAACGACCGGAACGGACAGGCGAGACAGGACGCGACGCAGGCTCACGACGCTCAGTAAGACCCCCTGTCTGCTCAGTGTAAGGAGAAGGAGCAGGCAGCGGTGAGTGTAACGGAAGACCAGTAGACGAAGGGAGACTAAGAACCTGGCGAAGCACAGAGTCAGACGGTGGCTGAGACGACGGAGACGGTGGAGCAAAGAACAGGCGCGGCTGTGTAGTGCTACGAGCACCAGCAGCTCCAGCACCCCCAGCAGCCCTAGCACCTCCAGCAGCTCCAGAACCCTCAGCTCCAGCTCCTCCAGGACCAGCTCCACCAGCAGCAGCACCCCCAGAACCGGCACCTCCAGTCCCAGGGTCTCCAGCCTCAATGTCTCCAGCAGCAGCACCCTCAAGCTCAGCACCTCCAGCCCCAGCAGCTCCAGTACCTCCAGTACGAGCACCTCCAGGACCAGCACCACTCCCAGCTCCAGTGACGTCAGCAGAAGTACCTCCAGCAGCAGAGCCCCGAGCTCCAGAGGCGCGACCCTGACGGCGACCGTACCAGTCGTGCAGCTGCTGTGAGGTGAGAGGCACACGCGGACGAAGGCGGCTACTCCAAGGAGACCGCGCAACAGCAGACTCAGAACCCTCAGTGCCAGCACCCGCAGCAGCTCCAGAACCTCCAGCGCCAGCAGCCTCAGCAGCTCTAGAACCTCTAGCTCCAGCACCCTCAGCAGCTCCAGAACCTCCAGCAGAAACAACTCCAGTAGCAGAGTCACCAGCTCCAGCGCCTCCTGCAGCAGGGCCCCTAGCTCCAGCAGTGCGACCCTGACGGCCAACGTACCACTCACGCAGCTGCTGTGGGGAGAGAGGGAGTCGACGACGAGAGTGCAGCGGCGAGGTACGAGCGGAGCAACGACGGAGACGGCCGCTCCAGGGAGACTGCTCACCAGACGCCTCAGCACCCCCAGGTGCAGCACCCCCAGGCTCAGTACCCCCAGGCTCAGCACCCC